TCTTCAAGGGGCCAGGGGCGTAACAAATCCATCTCTGATCTGGTGGCTGTGGTCCACATCAGATAGCAGCATCCACAAAATGCTGCATGTGACTCAGAAAGGTTGCCCCTGCATTTTCTAAGTCTGTCCTTCCCCAGAAGGGCTCCGAGAGGTGTTTTTCCTCTTCCTCCCCAAAGCCCATGGAGGCTTCTGTCCTCCCTGGACCACTGAGGGGCGCAGGATGGGAAACACCTCTCCCTGTGGAAAGATGCCGTTGTGCTCCTCCCAGCAAAGGGAGTCCATGTCTGAGCAGGTGTCAGTGCTGCTGGGAGAGGCAGGAAACTGGTGCTCAGTGACTGCCTGGGTCAGCCTTTAGGGAGGAATAATGCCACGGTGAGATGCCTGGGCTGGTAAAGGGTTGAACTGGGGCCTCCATTGGTATGTGGAGCCTGGGAAGGTGCTGCTCTGCCTTTGGAGTATATCCATAGCCAGCCCTTGGAAATTATTCACATTTCCAGGCTGCCAGATAATCTTGTGTTTTGGTGCAGCTGGTGCTGTTTTCTCCACCTCGGATCCACTACGTCATGAATGAACTGTTTTTGAAGACTTTTTTTGCTGATGGAGGCCGTGCTTGGTTGGACGTGTTGTAAGTAGGAGCCCTCTGGCAGCAGCTGTCAAACTCCTCCACAGGCAAAATGAGCCTCTCTTTCCCACTCAAAACAGGAGATACTCAGGTTTCTGAGGGAGAGCAAACAGCTTCTCTGGCATGATACTCTCCTTTTGTCATCTCTCAGCGCAGGAGGTATTGTAGATCCGAGCTTGAAACCACAGGTGAATTGCTGCAAGATCCCGAGGCTGGGGAAGAAGCTTCTGGCTCTGATTCTTAAACCTTTGGTGAGTCCCTGGTCTCAGGCTCCAAGCAGAGTGGTGTCAGCAAGGCCTTGAGATGCCAGAAAGTCTGATGGTACTGAGAGATACCTTCAGCTGCAAACACTGGGATTTCAGGCGAAGGCACATGCTGTCGCTTTGGAAGGTGTTTTCTAGACCCCTGCTGGGATTTATCCAGTGCAAAGGGAAATGAGAGAAAGACCAGACAAGAGCTGTAACAGATTAATGCAGAACCCTCAGCAAGTGGTTCTTCAAATGCCAGAGCCAGCAGTTTCCTGCAGCTTCATGCATTGGAGTTCCTGCAGCAGAGGGACTCAAGGCTGAAGATCCATCTCTGTGCTGGAGGCCTCCTAAAGATCACATCTTCATGGGAAATCCCGATGATGAAGAAGGGCTGTCCCTCACTGTCACCCTTTCACCAGCTGAGCATCCTTTTGTAGGGCTTCTCCATCTTCTCTCCTTCTCTGTCCAGTTGGGTTGTTCTCAGCTGACAGGACTGAAATAGTAGCAGTGTGTGGGAGACAATCAAAGCGCAAAGGTGTTGTTTCTGTGAGATACCAAACTAAAAAATGTTTGATGGATCAAATATAATGAAAAGAGACTTGGTTCAAGGGAGTGCATTCCTCTGTGAGCAGGAAATACTGGGCTGTAAGAAACAAATTGGGAACCAACAACCAGAAGTTGGAACCAAAGTGAGTTCACAACCATGAGGAGCATTTTTAATCGTTTTAATCATGCAGCATCCCCAGGGACAGAGGCAGAATGGAACCAGGGGTTTCCCAGGATAGCACAAGTTACTTCACTCCCATGTCATGTCCCTAACAGGAACCTCTTGCCTTTCTAGTTTCCCCGCCTGGCTGACTACTTGAACACCTTGGCTGGAATGAGGTAAGATGGCACCAACTCCAGGGATGTCCATGAAAATGAACGGTACCTTCTTCTCTAAGTGTCCATGGCAAGGGGAAATGCATTCAGGACAGGCTCCGACCATGTCCTAGACATGGCTTCAGCCTTTAGGAAGACATCTCCCTCATGTTGCATCACCCCCAGTGATACCCTGAACAGAGTGAGGGACTTGGATGGACAAGGTCATACAGGAAGCCGGTGGTGGAAATGAAGACTAAGTCCAGGCTTACAAGAGAAACCCTCTCTCTGCCACTTCCACTCATTTGGTGCTTAATTGCTTGCCCAAATGCCAAAGGAAACGTTAGAGAAATTGTGAAAGAAATATTGTTTTAAGTAATTGCTAAAGTCACTGGTGCTTATCAATCTGGAGGATTATTTAAACAATTCCTCCTCCTCTTAAAGCTGAAAAATGTTGCTATGATTTCCACTTGCAGGTCAGTGAAGGAGATGTGGAACCATCACCATCAAATAGAGGTAATGTTTTGAGGACTCCCCTCTGGCATCACGCACTGAGTTGAGGATTTATGGCAAGTGCCAGGTCGGAGGGTCATCAGTTAGGAAAGGGGCTGTGGAGGGGAGTGATGGGGAGGAAACAAGACAGAGAGAAAGGCACAAAAGAGAGATAGGAATGGGGTAAGTGGGCTTTTGGGACAACCATCAGTTGCCCACAATTCTCATGCCCAAATGCCCATGTTCAATGGTCCCAGCGGAACAAAGACTGGCCTGGGATCGGGAACGGGTAAAGAGGGATCTTTCCAATTCCTGGCCACAATCTGGCCATGTGTTGTGGAGGCAGACACTTAGATGCTGCCCTGCCTCTTCCCTTGAGCACAGCTGCCTGCTGCTCCCTCCTTGGCCATGCCAGCACCTGGTGCATACCCTGGAGAAGTCAAGATGCTTCAGACACAGACACGACCTCCATGTCATTTCCCCTCTCCTCCCCAAGGTGTATCGCACTGAGTTCATCGCCCGGTGGAGGGAACTACAGCTGGACGTTGTGCTGTGCCCTGTCCTGGGGCCAGCCTTCACCATGGGATACCCTGGGAAACTCCTCAGTAAGTGAATTTGTGATCTTCCCGGGAGGGCAAAGGACCACAGTGGTTGAGACTGGGCAGAAACATTGACTACCATGGAGATTCACTGCCCACCCAAGCATTTTACAGGCATTAGGAAGGAAAAATAACTACCATAGAGCTATCTGAGAAGATGGGGACAGACCCAGGGATGAAGTGATGTGGTGGAAGTTGTTTCTTGCAGTAAAGCCTGGATCTGGAGATGACCATCCCCATGAAACCTTTCCTTCCAGCCACAGCTGGGTTTCAGGGGCTTCAGTGAACATGTAATGTGTAAGTTTGGAGGGAGGCAGGAGGCCGTCACTAACTGCATTCTCTCTTTTTCTTCTCTCAGCTGCTGTCTCCTCCACGATGCTCTACAATGTCTTGAACTTCCCTGCTGGGGTTGTACCCATCAGCACGGTGACAGAGGCTGATGAGGAAGAGCTAAAGCTTTACCGAGGAAGCTGTGATGACCCCTGGGACCGGACGCTGAAAGAGGTACGAGACACGGAAAGTGGTGGAGCAGATGTTCACATAACAGTTCCACTGAAATCGGGGCTCCTAAATGTCTCCATCAATATGGGCACGGTGCGAAAAAAAAATTACCTCTCAAGTACCCCTTGCAAATCCCTTTTCTCCTAAGCCCCCCAAAAATGTAAGTCAGTAAGCTTTGGGGGGACTGAGGGAGCACCCTCTGGCTGAAACCAGACGGGAGCCATGCAGCAAGGCCTCTCTGAGTAGGTCCTTGTGGCAGCCACAGCTCACAGCCCTGCCCTGCGCTCTCCTCCTGCTCCGTGATGCCTTTGCCAGGCAGAGGCTGCCAGCGGAGCGCGGCTCAGCAGTGAGCTGATGCTGAAGGAAAACGGATCTGGCTGCAAGACAGCTCAGAACAGAGCTGGCTGGGGGGTGATGGTGTCTTAAACACATCACCCAAGACTTGGCAACCATTTCTACCACGACAAGAGCAAGAGCAGTCCCTCTGCCCCAGCAGGGCTCAGCCACCAACCTCCTTAACTCTCTGGGACAAGCTGTGTCCCTAAAGCAAGCTTCAAAAAGCTGCTGGAGGTCTGAGCCCCTAAGGTAACCCCTCTCTGCTTGTGCCCCTGCTGCAGGCTGTGGCAGGAGCCGTGGGGCTGCCGGCGGGGGCCTGCCGGTGGCCTTGCAGTGCGTGGCCTTGCCATGGCAGGAGGAGCTGTGCCTCCGGCTCATGAAGGAGGTGGAGACCCTCAGCCGTGAGAAGAAAGCGGCGTAGCCCCCACGGTCTCACAAAAGGTGAAAGGGACAGCACTGCACGACTTCTCTTTTGCAACCGTCCATGCAGAGATGACAGCAAGGACGGACGGAAGGAAGAAGGAAAACTCATTTCCTGATGCCCTTCCTTGCTGATAAGCACAGATCCTCCATGGAACCAAGATGCCATGCAGAAGGCAGGACTGGCTTAAGCTGGGTTCAAACGATACTTCAGCTGTAGGAACTGTGCTTCCTGAAAGGATGGGCACGGAGGAGGGTTCACCCTCATTTTCATCTATGCTGCCTCTTGCAGAAGTAGATTGATGCTGAGAGAAATCTAGTCCATTGCCAGCTCCACTGCCCTAGTTACGTCCATACGAATTTACTCCATTGCCAGCTGGACGTAACTATGGGCTGCCCTGTAAGAAATACAGCCCTGCCAACCCTCCCCACCATTGTGTTTTGCTCACAAAAATTAAAATTTAGCTATTAAGAAAGTCTTACCATGAATTCCAGTAGTCCTTCACTGATGGCTGTAATTATATGAATGCATGGTTGTTACTCAAGATCACACAAACACATTCTCACTGGACGTTAAATGAAAGTGTTCACACCTTCCCCCCCAGCTGCAACTTTCCTGTCTGTGAGGGATGGAACCTCTTATTTCGGGACCTCAGGCTGCTCTTTATGAACATAGAGGATAAGCAGAGACAGATGAAACTCAGGTATGCAGATGATGAAATCTGGGGCAGAAAGGCTGTGATCCCCAGATGGTGTTTGTTAACTTAAACCTGCTCATGTCAGATCAAAGCAGCCAGACAGGAGTGAGAGAGCAGCAATCCCAAGACGGATGGACGCATCGCTCCCTCTGATAAGACACCTCACTCTTTCCTAGATTAAACACCTCAGTCTCAAACAGATAAATATTCAGGAGACTTCACAGCAAGTCCTTCTCATTTATTCTCTATGTCTGCAGCAAAAAAAAAAAGCAGACTTCCTTTGGGACACTTTAAAAAGAAAAATAAATACAGAACAGTTTTGCTTTCCTGGGGAATTTGAGGTATTTCCTGACAGCCACCAGACAGTCTGTCACCCCTTCTACCTCCGACATAATTTGCAGAAGTACATAGGTCCAAAGTTGGCTGTGAGGTGAGGCAGAACAAGCTCCCCCAGCCGGCAATCCGAGAAGAAGGAAAACGTGTCCTCAAAGAGTGTCCGGAAGTGGCTCAAGTCCTCAACGTGGATACTGATGTTAAACTGCGTTTCTGCAATTTCTACTGCTCTCTCGATCACAAACTCGTTCTGCAGCGGCGAGAGGGAGCACGTAGAATACACCACCTCTCCTCCCGGCTTGGTAGCGAGGATCCCAGCCCTGCAGGCAAGACAAACAAATACAGTCATGGCAGGGACTGTGTGGCCCATCAGCATTCCCACCCACTAAAACTGGGGAGCCAGCACGTAACTTATAAGTGGTCAGAGACAAATCTCCTTAGACACCACAGGCTCAGCAGTGTCACTGCAGCTTGACTGTTTTAGACCAGGGCAATATGAGTCAAACAGATGCTTAGATTGATAAAGTACTTAATGTGGGAGAGACTGTACTGGAGAGCAGCTCCAAGGAGTAACCCCGTGCTCACCTCCGAGGGAACTGTGTACATACAGGGGAAGAGGCTCTCTCAGTTAAAGAGCTGCCAAGGGACTCTCCAATATTCCCTTACTGGTCCAGCTCACAGTCAGCCCATCCAGCCTTCCCAGCAAAACAGGGTGATGGAGCACCCCCAAGTCCTCCCATGTTCCGGTAGATGCAGACACTGAGAAATCTTCCAAGGCTGACTGCCAGGATCCATAAGATCATCACACAAAAGGACATCACTATGCCCATCCTGTTCCTGGGACCCTCCTCCCTACCTCCTACATCTGCTGCTGGGAACGGGAATGACGTTTAATCAAACTGAGAACATTTGCAGCTTCTTACACTTGCTATGATGTGATGTGTTCAACTACTGCCATTCCAGAAAACCACATGTGGTTTCCACATTTCCCAGCTGGGGACACATAAAGCAAGATGAGGTTTCAGGAGAGCTGCTACCGTAACACAAACAGCAAGAGAACACAGCATCGAGCTCACTCACATCAGCAGCTGCAGCTGCAGCATGGGCAGCATCTGACGCTCCTTGGTTCGCCTCTTGTGAAAGATGTTGTTGTCCTCCTCCATGACAGAGTGCCTGTCTGCTGTGCAGGGCACATCCACCAGCACCTGCAGCAGCAGAGGTCCCGCGTCAGTCCCGAGCTCAGGCAAAGCTCAGCAAGTCTCCCAGTGCAGCCTCTCCCTTGCCCGACTCCTCCACCCTCGCCGCGCACCAAGCAGCTCTCCCGGGCGCAGGTGTGCACCCACACTGAACTGTGACTTGTCCATCCGCCTTTTGCATTTCAGCAACGTGTAAGCAGACACAAAAGTGAGGAGTAACATCACTCTCTCACACATGCTCCCATTTAAACACTTCTACTCTATGTGTCTACATAGTCGGTGTTACTGCAGCACCTACAGCTGCAACCACACAGGGCCAGAGCTCCTGCAGGGCCACCTCCTAGAATAACAAACTCAGCTCCCACAGCTGAGAAACAAGAATGATCTAATCTTTACACTTAACCACTTCCAGGTGATGGATTAGAACAGGATTTTTAAAGGGTATTACACAGGTAAATAAAGGTACAACTCCCGATGCCCGTATGCACCAGATCCTGCAGGAAGGGAATATTAATCCACATGTGGCTTAGTCCTCTTTCTTCCTCTGCATTTAAGATCATGGAGAACTATACAATTATACTGTAGGATAAGCTGCTGTCGTCCTCTGAAACAGGAGAAAAGTGAACTAGATGGGTTTATCTTCACCGATTCCTGACCGCTTACCTTATGGAAAGTGCCACCTTCCAGCTGTCCCCAGTCCCTCCCATCGTAGGACGTGACACTCACGGTTTCCCTGATTTCTTTGGGAACATAGCTGTGCAGAACCTGGTGCAGCCTCTTTGTCCGGGACACGGAGACGTCATTGGCTGCCAGGTACCCTGAGAGGACAAAAAGGGCACAGAGGGAATGTCACTCTCGCAAAACCACCCCTGATACTCAATTCTTGTACCCAGAAATTAACAATCAGGTATTAATGGGCACAGCACACTCCTCCAGCGCCGATTTACGCATGGGGACAAGGAACATCCACTTCCACTTACCACAAACCCCAGTCTGCAGCAGAGCCAGAGTCTTGCCACCTGGAGCCGCGCAGAGGTCGAGGACAATGTCATCCGGCTGCACGTCGAGCGCCAGGACGGGCAGGAGAGATGCTGCATCCAGGAGGTAATAGTCGAGGAGCCCCAGAACATCTGGCCTGGAAATCACCAGTTTGTGTTAAAAAAGTAAATGTACGGGGTGGGGAAGGAGGAGCTGGAAGCCAGGACGGGGCTGCAGAGCAGCAGTTTGTGCTCACAAACGTGCAGGCCTGCGGCTGGCGAGGACAGCGAGCGGCCCGTCCCGGGGATGTCTCACCGTGCGGGGCGAAAGCGCGTGATGTCACCCCGGGGGAAGGT